TTTTGTGAGAAATGTATGAGGTTTCTCAGAACTCCTGATGGAGAGTTACTCATTGAATCTGGAGGAACACATGTGATCCAATTCAGGTTCACAGAGAAGGACTTTTGTTGGTGTTTTTCTTCTCCTTTCCCCGGGCTCACCATCCGTCCAGCCACCAGAAAGGGTACAGAAGTCACCTGGTCTGCCAGAATGTTGCCTGGGAGCAATGGAAAGTGGCAAGGGAGTCTGCAGTCATACCCTGGAGATTAGTGGTTTGTTCAGAGCCCAGGTTTCACCTTGAAAGAGCCCCAGCATTGCTAGCTGCCTCCTGTGGCGCTTAGTGCGACTGAAGTCGGCTGGCAGAAGGTTGTTCTTCTGAAGCAAAATGTGAAGGAGAAATGATAGTCGAGTCAGTCCTGCAAGGTATTAATTGCTGATGTGGAGTTTTCCTTCTCTCTGTCTCTGTAGAGCGGCTTCAAAAGGCCCTGGTCTGCTTATTTTTGCTGGACTCCACATGATGCTATTGTCTGATTTTTAAGTAGCCTGGATAGCTCAGTTGGGAGAGCATCAGACTTCAATCTGAGGGTCCGGGGCTCAAGCCCTTGTTCACGTCACAGCCTTCCTCTTTACTCACCAGTGGCACTGCCCAAAGTGAAGGAATTACCTCTTCTTTGCCTCTAAGTGCTGTTCCCCATAAAAGAAGCCAAGCTTAAGCAGCAAAGTAGAAGCAGTTCTGCTGCCTTTCTTCCTACGCTGCTTTCTGTCTCTCCTAAGCAGTCTGATGCTTACTGACTAAACTCACACGGCCAAATTCGCTTTGGCAGGGCCTTAGTAAACTTGTCTTTTGCACAGCCCTATGCACTTGTGGTCTTTGGTGTCCTTTAGACCTGCAGCTGTTGTGACAGAGCAGGCATTTGCAGTATTGTAAAAAGGGGAGTACTGCACCCCAGTCATCTAAGATGAAATTTTCGCTCAGGAGAGGAGGAGATTTGATTTGAAGAGTCCCATAACCCAAATCAAGGCCTCTTGAATCGCCCAAAATAGAACCGTGAATGGAACCGTGAATCCTGGAGCGAATTGAGGCTATTGAGGGCAATTCAGAGTGCTGCGGAGCTTACTGAAAAGGCACTTGAAACCTTCAGATAGGATCACAAGGCCTGGGGTCTCAGTAAAGTAGGCCCAGTGAACAGTACTGGAGATCTTCGGGGAACCCTCTTGGATTCCAAAGCAGGCCAAGAAATCCTGGGATAGGCCCTAGCACCCCTGATATCCTCTGTGCAAACTCCCCTGGTGGTTGCTGCATGCGGGCCTCCTTCTCTTTGTGTGAGGACTGCAAGAACCATGGGTATGAGGGCAGAGAACACACTGATTGCTTATTAGTTAATGCTTATAGATGCCTGCTGGGAATGGATCTGCCTTGGTGCTCAGAGCCACTCTTTCACCTCCCGCTGGTATACAGTTCAGCAATACCATGGGGGAGCGTTGTTTGCCATTTCCCTTGATGGGGCAAGTCACTGAGTAGCTCTCAGCATCTCCCAGAGTTTTTTTCAGCTCCTGTATCGGCAAAGAAAACCCCCGATTGCCCCTGTTGGCAGTCCTGCGCCGTGGCCCCTGAACTTGCACAGCTCTCAGGCCTCTTCAACGGCCTCAGTGCCATGTGGCTACGTCGTGACCCACCCAGACCTCAGATACGAGCTCAGGGCTGAATGTGAGTGGTGCAGAGGAAGATTACAAACGCTGAAGGGGTTCAGAAATGCTTCTGTTATCCCGTCGTGGAAGCGTGCCTCGTGTGCCCATAAGTACACAGCGTTTGAACCCACACGGAGGTCCTGTGCAGAATCAGGTGCTTGGAGATCCTTCGCAAAGCAAGCACACCCAAAGGGCTTCACTTGTTCTAGTTACTTGGAGCTGCCTATGTAAAATTTGTACTTGTCACTGCATTATTGGCTAGTTTGCATATATATTTTCTTATCTACATAAGCATGCACATTACATAGGCTCCCACATTTCAGGCCCTGGAGGGGGTGCAGTCGTTATCTCATTATCATGTTCATGGATTTTTTTTTTTAATTACTGTGTTAACGAAGTTTAAACAGGCTTGTGTTACTTTAGGTTGCTTGCTGCTCAGTTCTGTTTTGTCCGTGGGTATGTGCAGGCCCTATCTCCTACATGCAGTTACTAGGTGACATGTTCCATTTTTTTGATCTCAAGGCTACAAAATCCTCAGATTTAAATAAAGCACCAAAGCACAGATGATCAGAAAAGCAGTGGGCAGAAATGACATAGATTTTCCCCTTCATTTGGAAGTGAAGCAGAACAGGCAGACAGACACCAGAAATACTGGTGGGTGTCAAGGGACCCTAAAGCATCCAGGGAGACCCTGTGACTCTCTCCCAATTCCCCTGTCTATACCTTGTACCCTCCTGGCTATGTCAGGCCACAGCCCATAGAGGGGAGGCTTGGAGCCCTGGTACTGGGGACTCTGGGGAGACAAGAGCGGTCCCTCTGCTTCCTGTGCAGGCGAAATGTTGCTCAAAAGGAAATGTGGTTTCCCCTCCCCACCCAGGCCAGCAGTGACATGTGGATCCATCTCCCCACTGCATGTAGTACCTGCCTCAAAAGTGTTGCTCAGAAGAGGCTCCTCTGCTCTCCTCTGCTGACTGCAAGTGAGAATATTTGGAGCTCCCTTCAGCCCCATGATTTCCCTCTTCCCCATGCCTCAACCCTGCACCATGCAAATTTCTCTGGAGAAGCCTGTGATGCTCTTCTGTCTGCTGGTCTTCATGTTTACTGCAGCCCCCAAAGGTGAGATCCAATCATCTCCTAGGAAGAGGACATGGGCATGGGTGGTCTTAGCCTTTCTGCAAGGGTTTTGCATACTCCTCTTCCAAGGGTTCATATTCTCTCGGGGGCCTGTACCTTCCTGATTTACTCCAGGACTTCTCCTGCTCTCCTATAGGACGTATGAAGGTTGGAGGACAGGGATGTGACACTGTCCTACTGTATCTCTGCACCTAACTACCATGAAGAGCTGTTCACTAACCACAGTGAACTGTGCCCAGTTATTTCCATCCCTGCACTGTGCTGCCCACCCCATGCCTTCCTACTCTATCTCATCCCACTTATCCACATACTAGGGTACACTGCCTGTGGAGAGAGAAAGGATATGGAGCAGAGAGGGATCAGGGGCTACTTTGGAGTTTTGTCTTCCCACCAAAGAGAGAATGGAGTTGTGGCTCCCTAGCACTCCTCCGTCCCCTGCACCAAATGCTGTGCCCCAGCAGAACCAACAGTCTGTCAGTGATAGGAAGCAACCTTGAGTGAGGAGTAAAACAGATAAAAGACAGTGATAGGAGGGCAGTTGGCTTCTTACATCCATCCTCATGAGTCCAGGCAAAAGCCTACCTACGGCAGTGGGCACTGTCAGTCAAGGTCATACACCCTCCCCTGCAGAATGGGCAGAGCCCAGCCCAGCTGGACTAGGCTCCTCTCTGCCTCCCTTTAAGTTCCTTTCACTCCAGCTAAGGAGGAAATGCTCTACCCAATGAGATAGAGAGAGTCTAACGCTCCATTTTCCTCTGGGGCTTATGCACAACTGGCACACCACTTCTCTATGGGTCTGTGCCCAGCCTGCTCCTTTTGCTCTCTGTGTGCAGGAGAACAGGTTTAGGGGCAGCTGTTGGAGGCAAGAGGAGGACTGAAAGGAGCTGGGGACTCCATATGCTTCTCCTGCCAAGCCTCTGGATTCAGCTTTAAAGATATAACATGAGTTGCTCAGACTCTAGTGGGTCTCCTGCCTTAGCATTCTTTGCAACCATGGAGCTCGGGATGCTAATACTACCAGGGACAACTTTGGAAACTGAAGGTCTCTAGTCCTGTACAGCCTGACCAGTCCTCAATGCTGCACTCACGAGCTTTCCAATGTCCCCTTAAAACCTCACATGTCTTTCCAGGTGCCCTTTGTGACATAAAGATGGTGGCATCTGGTCCCACGGAGAGGAAGGTCTCTGGATTGCTCCCACTTAACTGCACTATAACAGGAGCACCTCTGGATAGCCATCGCTATGACTGGAACTATGTCCGTCAGACTGCGAGTGGAGAGCTACAATTCGTTGCCTGGATCTATCCTTTTGGGAATAACACAGGCCATGCCCCACGCTTTCAAGACCGAGTCACTATCACCGCAGATAAAGCCAAAAAGCAGGTCTCCCTCCAGCTGCATGCCCTGACAGCCACAGATACAGCGACCTATTTCTGTGCCAGGCAGCACACTGTGACACCAATGGAAGGAAGGACTGCACAAATAGTGGGAGGGCTGCTGTAGTGACAGGGCCCTTGGTGACAGAGTATTGCAGGCATGACTGAAACAGTGATAAGCAAAGTAGATTAATTACGTCTTGTTATCTGCTGACTGTGTCCTCACTGATGCAGCCCAGGATATGATCTGCTGTCACTGCTGCAAAAACACATGGGTGACTCATGGTCAACTCACTGTCCATCAGGACCCCTGGGTCCCTTATGGGAGACCTATTGGCCAACCAGTCACCCCATCCTGTATTACCGCTCAGGATTATCCTGTCCCAGGCATGGGTCTTCTTTCCCCACCTCACATGCTCACCTTATGTTAACAGGTGTCCTTTTCCAACTTCAGACAATGGCCTTTTTGAATGGAAGAAGCTCTGTGAATCTTCTCCTCTCATCTGTATTGATAACGCGGATCCTATCTCCAGGATCAGTCATGAATAGCATCAGGGCTCACAGGCTTCAGAGCAACAAACAGGAGAGGCAGAAGATCTACCGATATAGAGGGGATACAATTTACTCCTTGGAAAACTTGGAGAATGTGCAATCACCTCTCTAGGTCTGCTGGGCAGACATCACTTGAATGATCAGTCTGATGTCAGAGGCCCACAGTTTAACTTTTGATATATTAATATATAACTGTTAGGGATGTAACTCATGTTAGATAAAGCATAATTAGGCAGGTGTTATATATATAAAAAAAGCACGTAACTGACAGAGAAAACAGAATTAAACTTAAAACAAGTATATTTGCCTGGTGACTTGATGCACTAGTCAATGAGCAACAGCTCAAACTGATACACTGATCAATAAAGGTTAAATAATCTGGAAGAGGCTATACACCTTGTAAAAATCATCTGCCTCAGTCTGAAGGTGGAGTGGAAAGACTCTACCTCTGGAAACACTGGACCATGGAGGTCTTCACGGTGTCATGGCCTTCATGGAGGACACCTGGACCACATTTTCATAGCCAGGATCACCATGTTCAACATCCTGCTCTACCAGACCGCAGCTCCTGTATGCAAGGAAAAGGGAAGCAGAATAAATGTTTTCCTGTAACTTCGTAGTATTATTTGCAATATTAATCATTATTTCACAGAGACAATAAATATTCAAACTTCTTTGCAAGGATCCAATTATTGTGTAGTAGGTAATGTGTGCATTTAACCTGTACTAGCCTAAACTGCATCAGCACCTGCCTTTCTATATTTGCAGAAAAGCAACAAATCACATACCATAATTACAACATAAAAGAGAAGAAAAAGTGAGCAGTGCAGTTGAGCTGTATAAAAGCTTCTTTTACATGCATTCTGCATCACTTTTAATCCACTTGCAAATGTATCTGTAAATTCAAGCATGAAAACTTACAGCAAACACAGGAAATTACAATCTGCTCACATTTGCAGTGAAAAAGTGATTTCTACAGGCTACCAGGTGACCATGTGTTAGGTTATATGACAAAAAAAAAAAAGGATCGACTGCACACACACAAAGGAGGACAGAGGAGCAGGGCCAGGGGAGGGAGCTCAGTAACCTAGTCAAAGAAAGGAGCCTCAGCCCCAAAACCCAAGGGCTGTCACAGGACACCCATCTGCCCCATGAACTTGAGGGTACCCACCACAATAGGAGCAGCTCTTCAGAATGCCTTAGGGACTGATGGAGGTTACTGCCTAGGGGTATGGGACACATTACAGAACGCAGGGAAAGTGTACCTTTGGGATCACCCAAGATTTATTTTAGGAAGTTTAGGGGAAGAACCAAAAGTTCGGAAAGGGAAAAATAAGAGTGGCTAGGGAAGAAAAAGCCTGGGAAAATACATGGGAAAAGGAATAAAAGGGGCCAGCTGCATGTTAACTGCTCATCAGTACATTTGTCTGACCAAGCCCTGCACCCGATCTGCACCATGTAGCCCGTTTTCCTATTAAACTCCATTTCTAACTATTTTCCAGAGGGATTCTCTACTTCAGGTACATGTGTGTGTGTATGGAGGTCTAAATGCCAGCAACCTGAGTGGGGCCATGGGTTACAGGGACCTGTGTGTCTGTAGTGTCAGCTCCTGGAGGGACCAGAGTGAATGAAATCAAGTCAGTGTGTGATTGCTAGCAGATTTCAAGCCAGGCTAAACAGCAAGTGGATTAGGTGATTTGGGAACCAGATTTGTGTGTGTCTCTGGGGTAGAGGCAACTGGGAGGCGACTAATGGAGTGATCAATAGGTCGAGACCAACTGCCAGAGACACCATGGGGTTGGAGATTGACTGAGAGACTGTCTGCATATGTGTGCAAATGTCCACATGGGAGGCACGGGCATAGCAATGACCCAGAGCATTTACTATCTGGACTGTGTGCCCAACGCCGGCTGCCAAGGGACCCATAATGTTTGTATTCACAGCTATAGTTGGTCTGCAGGCCTTCATATGTTCACATGACAATAAATAGGGGGACTGGGGATCCAAGGGACAGCTACTGGATGGACTATGTGTTTAAGGCCAACTGCGGGAGGGATACACGCTCTATATATGTATGTATTTTGCACTAACAGTCCTTTATCTTGATCAGCCAGAGAGGGGAACCAGAGGAGGCTGTTGGTGCTGTTTTTTTCTGCTGAATGTTGTCCTCTGTGAGCAGCTGTGTGTATATGTTTATGGTATACACGAGATTATCTGTGTGTCTAGACATCTCCTATATTTCCTTCAAGTCCACCCCCATGTTCCTGGAGGGGAAGTCCTCTCCTCTTCTCTTCCTTTCCCTCCTTCCTTCTTTCACCATCAAAACAAGTCAAGGAGAGGTCTTCAGTACCAATCAGTGAGAGGAACATCATCCAACCACCATCCTTAGCAGTCTGATAGCAATTCCTATGTGCCTTCTGCCATTTTATTTTATTTTATTTTATTTTATTTTATTTTATTTTATTTTATTTTATTTTATTTTATTTTAGGAATGCAGCACATATATACAGAGAAACCACAGACAAAAGGACTCAGAGTAAAGGAGGAAAGAAGAAAGAAGTTTGTGGTTTGCAGAAGGACTCTGAACACCAGGGTGTTCCTAAAGCCAGGTGAAGACCCGGTGTAGCAGAAGGGAGACTGATGGAATCTCAGATATATGAAGAAGAGAAGGCTCGGGAGGCATCTTACTGATGTGTATAAATATATATTGGAGTACAGAGGGGAGGGAAGAAGGTAGAGCCAGATTTTTCTCTGCGATTTCCAGTGCTAGGACAAGGATCAATGGGCACAATTTGAAATACAAGAAATTCACTTTAAATACAAAACTATTCAAATTAAATATAAGAGGGGTTTTGGTTTTTTGGTTTTTTTTATTATTTTTTTTACAGTAAGAGCAGTCAAACACTGGGAAAGGTTACCTAGAGAAGTTATGTAACTTTATCCTTGGACATGTTCAAAACCTGATGGACAAGATTCTGAGCAACATGCTCTCGTTGACCCTGTTCTGAGCATAGGAGTTGGACTAGATGTACATGTACTATTCTGTGATTTGGAGGTTCCCTCTCCCTCCCTACCAAGAATTTAACTCATCCACACAAACAAAAGGCAATTAAACAAAGCAAAAGGGTATCTCTGAAGAATTAGTGTATCACAGACTCATCTTGATGTGGCAAGAAAATACTGTATAAATAGTAGAAATAGTTTGAAATATAAACATTTTGAGGCCTAGAGAAGTCCTATGAATGTAAGACAAATAAAACTGACTGCAGTTGGGACAGCTACAGATACTGTTCAAACAAACAACAAAAAGAAAAACAAAACAGATAAACAGCTCAATTCTCTGCAAGTGTATTAAGAATAAATTTGGAATCCAGTTTTCAAAGTGAAAAGGGCTCTGATAATGAAAATTGATCCATGCTCATGATTTATGGACAAGTTTTAACAAGATAAGAGTGTTTTTACATCGCCTACTAGAAAAGCCGTGCTGTTTACAATTTCTGGTAACTACTCTGTGGTTTGCTTATTCAGTGGTAACCGAGCAGAGAAAAAGCGGAAGACAAAATCCAAAGACAGGAAAGAGGAGTATCACCTGGCACTGAAATATAGGCACAAATGTTTTTGTATAACTGCTGATCACTGTGTGGAGTAGGTATCACAGTGATTGAAAGGAACTAAACCACCCTACACAAATCGACTCCTTGAAAAGTCTAAAGGTGCAGCATGATCTACTTCCTCACAGCTTCTTCTTGCCACAGAAAACTGCAGTCTCAGGAACAGATTTGATTCTGAGCATGATTCAAGCAATAGGACAATTTAACTACGCCAGGCCGGTTTTTCTTGCACATAAATGCAGATGTTGTGTCATCTTACCAGCTATTTGATTTGGAACATCCAGTTGTCCACTCAAGTTCAACCAGTGGGGTTTTGCTGTAGCTTCCATCTGAACTACTCATTGTGTCCCCTTTGAATCCATTAGAGAGAAACAGATGCTTGTAGGGAGAAATTTGTTTCTTCCCGAGCTGTTTTATACAGATAAAGTAGCTCATTCAATTACACTTGGGGCATTACTCTCCTCCCTCCACAATACACAGTTTACTGTCACAAATGCAACTCCTGGAAGCTAGAAGAGTAAGAAGAGCACCACACCATGTGGTTGAAAGGCAGCTCCAATTTTCCCCTAGCAGACCATTACCTACACAGACCATTACCTATACTCTGCCATTGAATGGCATTCTTGAAACGAAATCTTCTCCCTTCATCTCAGCTTGCAACAAAGCATCCCTGTCTGTCCACTATCTCAATCCGCTTTTACAGTTATCCTGCCCTCCTCCCTTTTCCATAGCTCTTTCTTCTTGAGCTCAAAGACCTTAGAGACCAATCACTATTTTCTCCTTCAATCATATGGTTAGAATTCTTCTCCATAGCCCAGGGCTTTTGACTGATGATGCCTTTGTCTTTGGCCCTAAAAACTGCAGTTTCTTCCCGTTCATTTCCTCCTCAAAGACCATTTCATGGAGGCTTTTCTACGCTTCTGACTTGGAGAACACGAATTCTCCTCACCATCATAGGAAACCTAACTGAATGCATTCATTTCGAAGGTAAGCACTAAATGGACTACAGATTGCTAAGGGAGATGAGGGCTGCAGAGTGTCTACTGCAAGAAAGCTTCAGAGCTTTAGGCCCTGAAAAGGGCCAGATAACCAATGTCTCCAGGAAAGGAGGAAGGACTGGTCTGCCTCTTTATGCCACCGTCAGCAGCTGGATGCCTTCCCATCTCCTGTCACTCCCAATTCCTATTATTTTTAACCTTCAGTGCCCATCTGCAGTATCATTTAGTTAGACGACCAAAGTAGCAGTTTTGTACCTTTTTCTGTGCTGTTCCTTATGCAGTCCTATGGTGTCTTATAACTGTATTATTGTCTCCCCATGAGTGTCAAGTTTCTTTTACCAGGATGTTAATAAACTTCCTCTCCTTTGCAACCTCCTCCAGCTTGGAGCCGCAATGAGTCATATTACTTTGGTACACCACCTACCCCTGCCTATACTCATCTTTTTTCCTCCTTCCCTGTAAGACTGTTTTCATGGAATAAGCATAGAGATACTATCTCAGAGCCATTGCATTCGCAGACTACTCTATTAAAAACTGCTCTGTGAGGGGAAGCACTCACTCACCTCAATGTGAATGCTTGGTTAATATTTCCATTAAATTAAATGAAAATGGTTAGTGCTCAATTAAAGTGGTTAATATGTCAATTAAAGATAATTCGCCTGTGCCCCATGGCTGTGTTCACACCACTGCATTGCAAAGCTGTTCTTTATATCATCTTCAGCAAAAGGCAGAAGCCACACCTAGCCACCACACCTCTGACTCCTGGAATTGTCAGGTGCTATAATGTCCATTATGCATAAGAAAAGTGCATTCACGAGATCATCTTCCCCCACATACTACATTCCACTCAACTCTTTAGGTGCAAGGTGCACTAAGGTGCAGAAAATGAAGAGTGTTTTTCACTTTGCAGCATACACTGACAGGCCAGTAAAGGTTTCTTTGGGAATTGCTAGGGGGAATCTTGTCTCCAGTGGATCTTAAGAGTCAGAAGATGTGAGGCTTACTCACGTTTTAAGTGCAAAAAGCAATATGGTAGGTCAACAGCAGATATTATAGAGTAATTTGCTAAGAGATAAATACCAGTAACATGGATAGCTGGAAGACCAGGATCCCAGACCCCATTCAGCTCACCCTGGGACTGTTAATCCCTAACCCTGTCCCCTATCCTACAGCAACGTCATTCTCCACCATAACCCTGCCTCAGCCTGTGGTGGGACCTGCTGATCCAGACCCCAACCCATAGGCCTGGTCTTGGGGAGCCAGGAGGAAAAGGGGATCCCACAGCTGGCAAGGCAGGGGCTTTGCCCTCAGCTCCAGCAACCAAACCTGCAGTATGGGTGATGAACACAAACAAATATATCCATACGATACATCTCTATTTAATGAAGAGCAACCCTTTTCCCTTTTTAAGTTACCAAAAGCAAGATTAGGACTCCCTGAGGCATTGAATGATCCTCAACCCTGGCCCTTCCAGAGAGATAATGATTTTAAAAGACGAAGCTTCTCCAGTCCTCATCTTTCTGAGCAATGAAAAAATAATTCAAAGTATAAAACTAGACTGCTTTTGCAACCTAGAAGACCTTTGCTATCGCTGTAGGATAACATTCAAACACTGAACAACTTCTGGCTTTCCAATAGGCTAAAACCCATGAGCCTTCCCAGAGTTGCACTACAATCCTGCAAGTTCCCATGGGATAAAATTCCCACCTTTTGCCTAGCCTTTGTTTGAAAGTCTACCCAATTTCTTCATGCGTTTTATTGAGCACGGACTGCCTATCTCATCTGAATAGTGTGTGGTAAAAAGGAAGGAAGAGGCACTTTTTATAAGAAGGTAAAACACGGTGTTGAGAACTTGGAGTGACAACAGACAAGCTGGTATTTGGAAGTGGAGTCACCATCTCTGTTGAGCCAAGTAAGTTCCACTTTTTTTACTCCTAAAAATGTATTAAAAGTTGGTGATGGAGGTGGTGCAAAGGGATTGTGTGATTTTGTAGCACAATGAGATTTTTTTCTCCTTCTTGGCATCTCCGGAGCATGCATGCTCCAACAGTTGTTCATTTTTAGTTCTCAGCTCGTATCTATTTAATAAAGTTTCACAGGAAGAGCAGGGCTAGTTTTCTGGTTTTCATCATCATTATTTCACAGATCTTGCACCACAAAATTTAGCACTGTATTTTTTATGTCCAATTAAGATAGCGTCTTAGCCCAGCTTATAACTATATGATACCCTATCCCCTTTGGTGCTCTTTCTATATATAGAAATGGAATATGCTCAGTGGTATTTAAAGCAGCTAAGAGGACACATACCTTATTTCTTGAATATCTGAGGATTTCACAAACATAAAAGACATAGAAAACATCCATTAATAGTCACTACATTGCATCTGCTCCTAAAGGGGAGACCTCAGGGGGGATCAGTGCTGAGCCCTGATTTCCAGCAGCCAAAACTTCAGATAGCCCTGACTGGACTACCTCTGATCTGTAGGTGATTTGACTCTCAGAAAAGAGAGCAGCAAATAAAGTCATCCCCCGATGATGCTTCTTTTTCAGAGAATCAAGCAGAGTCTGCCCTGGAAGTCATTGCACTTAAATCAAGGAAAAGCAACCAGTACAGTAGTAAAGTGAATGTGGCTTGTTTGGCAAGGAATTTCTACTCGAAGAACATCAGCCTTGATGCACCCAAAGGTGACACTGTATATGACCTGAAGGAACCTCTTGTCACATCAGAGGGGACATACAGTCTCATGAAGATAGTTGTGGTGGAACCAGATACAGAGGTGACCTGCAAGGCTCTGCGTGAGGGGAGCAAGATTGCAGCCAGCACAACCCTTCCAGGTACAGTGCTGCACTCCAGATACAAGCTGTTTCTGGAAAATGCATCTTACAGCACGCTTTCTTGCTCATGCTAGGAAGTGTTCCCTTTGAGCTATATATAGCAGTAAGAAGTACAATAATCAGCAAGGTATGTAGGTTCTTAATTGGGTGGTGCTAAGATATATTAAAAGGCACCTAACACACTCAGAGCTTTCTTGAACCCTTCCTTACCTAGTATTTGTGAGTCTAGCCTTATGCAAGGCGAAAAATTTCCAGGCACAGAAGTATAAGTGTCTGCATGAAGAAAGCATGAAATAGCTTTCATGAAAACAAAAATAAAAAAGAAAATATGATTTCCACTCTCTCCTGGTCCCCCCCTCCAAAAAAAAAAATTTGGGGGGGGCTTATTTTTTAATCACTTTTAATAGAGAAAATTTTCTATGTTAAAGATCATTTTAAAAGATCAGGAAAACTCAGTAGTCTCATTTTTTGCTTGTTTGCCTGCTTTTCACTGTAATCACATGCAGGAAGCTAAGTTTTCCCTTCAAATTAAACTCCAATGCTGCTTATTCATTGCTGGGGAAGGGGGTTATAAATAGACCTTGTGTACTTCCAGTTTTATATATCTTAGATATGTTTTAAAGTTTCTTTTTTCAACCATACTACAGCAAAGAAAGCTGAAGAACTGCTAACAGTGGATGCTTGCAACATTATAAACTTCTCTTCAAAAGGTTAGTTCCTGAAACCGTGGACTTAAGTCACTTCATTGGGGATTCAAATCGGTGCAAGAAAAGCGTGTTTTCTTTGGTGCTGAAGTGTCAGAACTGCAAATGCATACCTGCTGTTTCAGGTTAAGTAGTTACATAGATGACAGTTTTCCATGAGATATGTAACAGAAGATAAAATCCTAACCAGTCAGTTATCTCCTCCCCTCCCTGCACTGGCCACATTCCCTTATTATTTTTTCCCTTTGTCCCTGCTTCCCTCATTGGCTTACAAGCTGCAATTTTTCTTTTTCTGCTAACACCAAGGCCACAGTCTTTTCCTTCTTTTCCAAATCCTTTTCCCTCGTTTCCTTCTTTTTCAAACCAGGTGCCAAAATGGAGAAGGGGAATATGCTGTTCATGACTGTATTGGGTTTGAGAGTCCTGCTGACCAAAAGCATCGCCTTTAATGTGCTCATGACTCTCCGGCTGTTGCTCTTCTGAGGCAGGTAACATGCCACGCAGTCCCTGGGCAAGTAAGAGGCAAGTGCAGGGAGTCACTGCTTGACTTCATGTTCTTCTTTAATCTCACATAGAGCCAGATCATCGCAGCTATCCTTGTTTCCACCGAATATGTCCCTGTTTCCAGTGACTACCACACTGGCAGCATTGACAGCCCCAAATTACCTTTGTACCTATCTACTCCAGAGGAGCCCAGGCTGTACCACATATCTTCTGCTTTTCTGTTCCAAGTGGTGGAGCACAAAGTCTAGAGAAATGTAAGAATCAATAGGAAATGTAAAGAGAGCAACTCAAAAGACAAATACATGAAAAGAGGAAACAAAAGGAAACAAGGAGAATTTAAAAGTTAATGTATCTCAAATAGCACAAATATTTGTCCCGGTCATTCTCAGTTAACAGAAGCTAGGCACAACTCCATTAAATGTCAACAAGAATTTAAGATGAATACTGCTGTTTCAGATACTGGGGAACTGAGACAGCAGTGAGCTAAAGAAGAACAGGAGACAACTCATACCAGCATAATTTCAACATCATGTGTCAACTTTGCTGGCAATAAACATCTAAAGCATCACAGAAATCTCCACTTCATCAATGTCCTTTTCAGTTAACACCATTAGGAAGTTTTCTTAGACATTTAATACTGTTGAAACCTTGTCCTCTTGAGCTAGTTTCATTAATTGTGAGAACATTTTTGGCTATTTCTTGTTCCTAATGAACCACAAGAGTTTTTCTTTATCCCTCAGCTTAGCAGGAATAGTTAGATTTCCTACTTCTCTATGCCCTGCATCAAGACATCCAAGTTTATTAGTTTAATTTTTCAAATTAAAACTTAATTTTAAACTCGATATTCTTTAAATATTGCATATGCTGTCATATTACATTTTCATCTCCAAAAGTAATGTTTTAGTGCTTAGGGATGCCATCCCAGGTATAGTTTTGAGTTTTTTTAGAAGCTCTTGTTAGTGGTAATTTTCTGGAGGAGGTGATTAGATCTTCACTAGAACTGAAGTGATTCACTTCAGCCAGGGATATTACACTGTTTCTATTTGCATCGCTTCTTTATAAAATGTATCTCTTTTGTTAAGTATATGGTATCTGTATTTCAGATGTCTGTAGTAGTAAGTACCAAAATAAAGTTTTATCATCAGGTTTCATGGTTTCTGCTGTGCCCTTTCTTCTGAAATCTCAGTGGGAACTGCTGAAATCCAGCTATCTTATCCAGTGGCCATTGAGATCTAGAAACCCACCTCTTTCAGCTTAGATTTCGCCACGTATGTGAGTGAGCACACATTTTTATTTTATTTATTTTTCTCATTGAACTTTCCAGCAGGAAAGAAAAGGCCTTTTTGGCATATTTAAGAGACCACAAATTCTGACTCCATTGGGTTCAAATGAATTTTAACAAATTGCGCCCTTTGTATGTGGCACAAGCTCAAACTGGGGATCATAGCAGAGACAGAGATGCATCCATAGAAAAATCAGTTGAGATGGGTCGATAAGAGCATGAGGAATGAAAGCACACACCTCAGAAGATGAGAGGACAGGGTGTCTGTTTTCTACTCACTGATACTAGGAAGAGGCCAAGAGGAAATACTGTGGTATAGTTTGATAGGCTGATAACACAGCATTTTGTCTGGCAGCCAAGAAGACCTAACACATGCACTCCCCCACTGACTTCTCTCTCACAAGCTGCGAGATGCCGCCCACTTCAAGCAGGAAACGGTGGTTAAAACAAACGTCTGACTAAATCACTCTCCTCAAGACAAATCCCGCCTTGCTTCAAAAAAAAAAAAAAAAAAGCTAACCACATCCTGAAGGGAAGGACACAAGTTTTTTTAGATACTGACTGAGACATTGCTGGCTTCAGGAAAGCCTCCAGAGTGTGCATGGAAAAAAAAATCTATTCAACTAGCATTGGCAAGTTTAGTTCTTCAGACCCAATTCAGAAGATTTGACATTTATACGGACGATACTAAGACGGATTTTTTTTTTAATCCACTACTCCACCATGAAGAAGATTGGAGGATTTTGCTCAGTGACAGACTTATGATGACTTATTGATAAAACCAAAGAACTTTTTTCATTGCGCTCTACCCCATAACATTTCCCAGTTGCATTAGTAAGGTACAGAGGGGGAATTTGATTTGTGGGCCTCAGGACCCCTCAAGGGATGAGTGTTTCCCGAGTTTTTTCTTGACTCATTTGAGATAAGTACTGGCACTGCTGCAAAAGGAATGCTGGGATGGCTTTTTCATAGGCTGGAATGTCACGGAACTATTCACTGCATTGTGTGATCGATCTAAAACTCCTCGGATATTCTTTCCTCACAACTTTGCAGGAAGAAGGTCTCCAGCACTTTGTGCTGCCTCATATTGGGTCAATGAAATACAGTCAATAAAAATATCTCCCAGGATGGCCAGAGAATGTGAATCCCTGGCGGGGCGGCCTTATCCTCATATTCCTGGGGGCGGCAGCAGCAAGCCCGCTCAGCCAGCGCGCCTGGGCTGCCCGCTCGGCAGAGCATGCGGGGTGCGCGGGTCCCTGCGCCAGCCCCGGCGGAGAGCGCCCGTGGGCTCACAGAG